ATGTCTATGATTGGCGTAAATCTTTTGGTTTTATTAAACAACTTTAACAACACTTTATCGTCTGTACCAGATGTGCCAGAAGTTGTGTCTACAGGAACAGATCCACCAGAAGTGTAATTGTTACGATAGTGCCAGCCCACAGGAAAATTCTATCATGAGAGTTACGTCACGGCTTCACCCATGCCAGACAATAGCAGGTAAACCAAACAAATCCTGTACCTCTAAAGCCATCTAGATATAAGAAGCTAGTCAGGTGATCGAGTTAACTTAATATAACGTGACCGTTCATTAGTTTTACATTTGTACGGATAGTTTCAAACAAGCACAATTATATAAACTCTATGTTTTGTTGTTTTCTATTCAGAGTCGGAATATTTTTTATTTTGTTTTCCAGAGTTGATGTGCACAATAATAACCAAATCAGTGTTCAGCGAAAACGAAATAGCTTGTGAATGCCCTAATGCTTGCAGGTATCTTTTCACTAACTGATATTTTAACCTAAACTCTAATCAATGAATACAGATACAATAAGCGACAGAATCCATGCTTCATACATATTACAAAAACAGTTGCAGGTTTAGAAGGATCCTTTACATTTTATTTTGTTAAGATGACCGTTACAAGTAAAAATAAATTATTTAATTATTTGATACACCTAGTTTCCCACTATAACTTATTAAACATATTGTCGGTGTTTTGCTCAGTGAGACTGCTAACAGCAGAAGCTCAGCATTTCTACAATGGCCGAGTGAAATGGATGTGGTGAGTACTTTTGTAATACATTCTTTACTTAATTAGATGGTGTGAGTCCTTTTGTAATACATTCTTTACTTAATTAGATGGTGTGAGTACTTTTGTAATACATTCTTTACTTAATTAGATGGTGTGAGTACTTTTGTAATACATTCATTACCTTTTTAGAAGCGCGAACAAAATTTAAGTTGGTTTTCTCTTAATTACATGTTTTAAGTGTGTATTATAAAGTATTTTCCTTTATTTACACGTATTACTGATACTCCTGATGACAATGTACAATAAAAGGAGCTTGAGATCGACAGAGTCTGCGACGATAATCCCCACAGCGATTTTTGCCAGACATTCCTCCATGTGCCGCCCGCTAAAATGACGTAAGTCTAACCATTACCTCAACACACAGATCTAGCTGTTTTATTCATACCGTCTGTGTTACACTTAGGTGAACTGTGACACAGACTTTAAGCGTGTTGTGGTGAGTTAAAATGTAAACAACTCACACATACAAAATGGCGTTAGGATAGCTTTAACATTGGTAACCGTATCAATATGGACTTTAAAGCAGGTTTTTTACGATATTAATATTCAACAATTGTGTATATCACATAACACGAAGGGGAAAAGAAAAATAATTTACATTTGTGAACGTGATTGTCAATAAATACAATAGGGCAGATGAAGTAGAGTGCCCCTGTTTCTGTGAAAACTAAAACTAGGGTAAACATCAGTGCAAAGAAACCCGTTTTGTGGTAGAGTATTTGGATTAGCTTAATAGCTGTTTTTTTTTCTCTGCATGATTTTTGTTTTACTGTTTTCTCCAGAAACTACTTCATTAAACTTGTAATCTACTACGATGACCTGAACTATGAAATAATTTCTGAAGTGCCAGATTATGAGGTATGTTTTTTTATCCTGGATTTATTTTAATTTCTTGTTAATTAATTACTTTTCACATTCACAATCCATTCCGTGTAGCTTTTTCTTGGCCATTTCGTCCATCATTTTAACTAGGCTGATGGACGGTTCTACTCACATGCTATCGTAACATCTAATCTACATACCAGGGTGAAGGTCAAACATCAAACATCTAACATCGACACATCTAACCTCGACATACCTACATCTAAACTTGGCATACTTGAATCTGATCTTGTTAAACGTACATCTAACCTTAACATGCTTACATGTAATATTGCAATGCGTACATATACATGTGACGCATCTAACTCTCGTAAACGGTTATTGCCGATTCAATCATTGGACATGGTCGAGTCAAGAAAACTCCAAATTAAACAACTGCTGCCTTATAGTTTGATCTTGGTTGGACAAAGGTTAGGGAAGCAAATCTACAAAGATAGCCGGCTGAAATTTGAGTTAACGGCTTGTAGGGCGCATAACAAGTTGACTCGTAATACCTAATTGTTTTGTTGAAAATATTCCAAGATTACTATTAAGAAAAAAGAAGAAGAAGGTAAGGAAAACAGAACAAGACGATACGTCAAGCATTTCTAAAAACTGTATCTAGAGCCGAGTGTTTCAGCAAGGCGTTTATTTGTTTACCCAGGGTACTGCACCATCTGCTGTAGAATTGACGAGCAGTTCGGTAGAGGAACCCCCTACTGTCTCAGACCCAGGTTCCAAACTCATGACTTTCTCTAATGACATACTCACAACTTGTCCCTATATATTAGATATAACCGTCACATAGTTTCGCCAAACCTTGACATACATACATCTGATATCAGCTGAGTTAAACCTTGACATACAATGGTTGACCTGCTTACATGTTACCCTGACCTACTTACAAGGTAATACTGATCTATTTTATGCTAACCTTGACCTACTTAAGTGCTGACCTTGCCCTACTTGCAGCTGTTCCAGCTCCTGTCAGATGTTGGTGGTACCATAGGTCTGTGGATTGGTCTCTCATTGCTCAGCCTGTTCGAGGTGCTACAGCTGCTGGCCGAGGTTGTGCTGTTTGTCGTCACCTTTAGTTTGAAGCGATGATTTATGTTTTCTTCTCTAGTTAGCTATACATTATATTTTCATGTTATACTTAGCTTTTTACACATACTGTTTTTAAAAAAAAAGTTTTCTCAATGTTAAACTTCAACTTTTTAAGGCCCTATAACAACCTGCCATTTACAATTTAAGCCTTGCGCATATGCTATTAATATAATTATCAAAATATCTACATCGCTACTTTGATCAAGGCATCTAACATATATTTGTGTTTATAAATTACACCTTCAAGGTGTACTAATAAACTCGTTATTTAGCTTGAAAAATAAACAATAAAAATAGTACAGCATTTTCTACCATTATGCTATAGTTTGTGTTTTCACATTGAATGTACTGTTTAGTACTGCTTCAAATATATTTACTTTTTGTTCGAAAAATAAAAAAACTCTTTTACTCTCATGTATTCTCTTGTATCTTCACCATTAATTGAACTTTTTGAACTTTTTAAAAAATAAAAACTAAAAACTAAACTTCATGAATGTATATTTTATTTTTTATCAGTTGCGTTTTCCAATTATATGTTTGAATATGCCGTATATTGTTGATATTCTGTCCAATTGTTCTTCTAATTATTTCAACTTGCCTTCACTGCCTTCTATGGCAGGTATTTCATCAGCCCCCACCCCCTCCCCCCAAGTTGGTAATGACCTTACTCCGATGCTGACAGCCAATATGACCTATGAAGGCGTCATTGATGATCCTTTCTGAAAAAGTTTACAATCAAGACCTTTTAAGCGACATATAAATTAGTTTAGAAAACAGGCAAATGTATGTTCATCCAGAGAATCAGGCTCGACGTATGGATTAGTTTACTGCCATAAAGAAGTTGGGATTGAGCACAGTCTAGTTGAGTTCCTTTACGTTCAGACTAAAAATGACAGGTAACCACATTTCTCCTCTATATAACGAGATCACAGAAACAGGTGAGTAAGTTGCTGTACCGGCCTTCAGGTGCAAAAAGTGAAATCCGTATACCCGCATGTTGAAAACATATACCTCGGTATCAAATGTTGTAAACATCAGAGGCTTTCACGTGATCAGAGGCTATCACGTGGTGCAGCCCTCAGATACTGACATGCAGGGTCTCAGCTTACGGACACATCATTAGGCGATCTCTATCACGTGATAGCAATTACGTCAGGCCAGTGAGTGACGTAGAGCCATGTGCTGCTGTTTGTTTTTTGAGTTATTGTGATGTTCATGTGATGTGTTAGGTATGGTGATGTTCATGTGTTGTGTTAGTTATGGTGATGTTCATGTGTTGTGTTGGTGAGTTTTTGTGATGTTCATGTGATGTGTTGGTGAGTTATGATGATGTTCATGTGCTGTGTTAGGTATGGTGATGTTCATGTGTTGTTGTAGTGAGTTATAGCGATTTTTATGTGCTGTGTTAGTGAGTTATGGTGATGTTCATGTGGTGTGTTAGGTATGGTGATGTTCATGTGTTGTTGTAGTGAGTTATGTTTGGGACATGAATAAATTTAAATAATTAGATTCTGACACCAGGTGTTCTGTAATCAGATAAGGGTGTATCCAGGGTGACACTAATCTCGTATGTGTTAGCACTCACTGTGACGGGGATTACTAGGTCTAATTAGCTTAAACTAGAGTATGGTGATTTGAACAGGTGTAAGGGTGACAGGTTAATGGAAGGGTCGCGTGAGTCAAGGGGTCATGGCCCTAACAACAGACTGATTAACATAATTACTGGCTAGTTAACGGCTTTAATTGCAAAGTTAATGGGAAAAAATAATAAGTCAACCAGCATTTGTTTGCTTTTTGCTTTGGAGTTTGGATGTTTTGGATACAATTATTTCAGGATTTCCGAATATCAGGAATGTAGAGGTTGAAAAAAAAAAAGATTACACCATTTTTTAAAAAAAGTAGTGTCTCAAGATATTGAGACATAGTTAAAATATCTATAAAGAGTAGCTGTTCACGATTTCAGAATTGGATTTCGGAATCGGTTTTAAGAATCTGATTTCAGAATCTGATTTTAAATCGGGTTTCAGAATCGGATTTCAGAATCGGATTTTGGAATAGGATTTCGGAATCGGATTTCAGAAGTTTAAGATTTTATAATTTCGGGATATCATGAGTTCTGGAGTTCAAATTAAGAGGATATCACCTTTTCCTAATTATTTCCGGTTTTAAAGACATTAGTATATCAGTGTTTCTTGAGTAAAGAATTATACGAGCTAAATAAATCAGAAATTTGTGGATTATATACTGTAGTAACGAGACGGAAATGTGTGACATGACTGGCACTAAAGATGACGCCAAGACCGAGACATGGACGAACCGGCATTTTCCGGCTGGGCTGCTGCACATCCTGTCCAAATATGCTGACACCTGTTCACTGACCGGCGTCGTGTTCATCAAATCCTCCAAGAGTTTGGGCGTCAAGTTGACGTGGGCGTGTCTTCTGCTGGTGGCGTTGTGTCTCATGTCATATCACCTGTACAGGTAACAATTATATTAAAATATAAATCTGTAAGTATGGGAGAATCTTGTCAATACATATCAATTAGAGATTAAAACATTGCAACCAAAACATAAAAGTTAGATTTATTGCGTCACATATATAAAAAAAAACCACACCAATGAGACATATATATATATATATATATATATATATATATATATATATATATATATATATATATATATATATATATATAATGATGCGTATTGATAAGTGTCCCACATGTTTTAAAATTAAAATTAAACATAGTTCCACCATTACCGTTGACACGATTTTGTTAAGATAAAAAAAATGAAATAGATTTCTGCTATACATTCTACATAAACCATATATATTGTAGTGTGGTTATGTTCATTGTAACATGACTAATATTTTTGACAATGAATCAATGTTTGTGTAGACTAAAATGATTCATGATAGCAAAGTAGAAAGACAAAAAGAGAATAATGCACACAAACAAGTGTTATTGTGAATAAAACCGACGGAACATCAATCTAATTATTTTGTTTAATTATTATAATTACTATTTTGTCCTTGTTAAGTCTGTCCGCCACGTACCTGGAGTACAAGAAACAAACCAAGATTGATCTGACATTCAGCAACCTCCAGTTCCCCGCCCTGACAATCTGCAACGCTAATCCTGTCCGTATGTCTATGGTAGGTGGTAGAACGCTAATCCTGTTCGTATGTCTATGGTAGGTGGTAGAACGCTAATCCTGTTTGTATGTTTATGGTAGGTGGTAGAACGCTAATCCTGTTCGTATGCCTATGGTAGGTCACAGGACGCTAATCCTGTTCGTATGTCTATGGTAGGTCACAGGACGCTAATCCTGTTCGTATGTCTATGGTAGGTGGTAGAACGCTAATCCTGTCCGTATGTCTATGGTAGGTCACAGGACGCTAATCCTGTCCATATGTCTATGGTAGGTGGTAGAACGCTAATCCTGTCCGTATGTCTATGGTAGGTCACAGGACGCTAATCCTGTCCGTATGTCTATGGTAGGCAATAGAACGTTAATCCTGTTCGTATGTCTATGGTAGGTCAATGAACGCTAACCGCTAATCCTGTTCGTATGTCTATGGTAGGTGAACCATAACTCAATTAAGAACGCAGAAGAAGAAGAAGTTCATATGTATATACTAGGTGATAGAACGATATTCATGTTAGAAATTGACATAGCGACATAGCTTGATCACACGTATTAGTATGTATATGGAAGAATGTATGTGGTAGATGTATGTTAAATAACTTATGCTAAAACATGCTGAAATTTTGGTAATTACATTGAGACAAATACACTCTGGGGGTGGTAGATCAATGTGTTTGTAGACAACAGGAGAGGGCTGGTCGTCAAAATAAAAATAAATATTACAGATTGTGTGTGTAGTAATTAAGGTTTCCAAACACAATTTTTTGTAAGTCTACTAATTATCAAACGACTTTTAAAATTGTTAGATTTACCAAACTCTATTCGCTTTCAGTGAAATATTATTTATAAACTATGAAAGAGAAATGAATAAACTTATTTCATCCTAATATCCTTCCATGAACTATTGTGTTTAAATTATGCGCTAATTAAATAAGTAGACGCCTTTATTTTATAGCCCCGGCCTAAATACCTGCCGGTATCATACCATTTTTCAAAGTGGTCGAGCAAATAACTGAAATAACAATTTGTTTACCTCATAGACCTACATGGCCAGTGAGGATTTGAACTCGCTGATAGACGCAACAGACCCGGCCAAAATTCTGGAACTGGTTGAAGAATGGGTACCTCCTGTAAACAGCCCTACTATGATACTGGTTAACGGGTAGGCATTTGTTTACATAACTTAAAAAACTTTGTCATTTTGAAAGGCTTTTAAAAAATTACCTTGAATTTTTTTTTTACACATTTTAAAACATAAAAATCAATTTTTACACGCTTCAACTTTTTTTCTTGCTCTGGTACCAATGTTCCCAGTTCCTGGATCTCAGCCCCTCCTGTGGATCCCGGTAACTTTATAGACAACATCGACCTGAAGATCAACATCACCTTGCCGTGGGGCGACGACATGTTAGATGACACGGGGGATGAAGACACTCAGAATACACAGGTAACAATGGGTTTAATTTGTATCATCGAATCTTCGTAATTGGGTTTAACTTTTTATCATTTAGATACACGTATATAACCTTACAAAGTTAAATGTAACTGTCTCTAGCTAACCTGTTCTTATGTACATCCATACATGTGTAATATATATATATATATATATATATATATATATATATATATATATATATATATATATATATATATATATATATATATATATATATATATATATATATATATATTGTCGGGGGGGCCTATGTATGTCCTCCAATAAAATAAAATGGCTGATACACACACATACTTGCAACTTAAGTTCAAACAGACACCATTTGTTTACATTTGAAAAAGTTTTAACTAAAACACATCTCTCAGTACAAGAAACGTAGCCTCGACACCCGCACCTCACAGAAGTCAAGCATTTACCGCACCGAGCTGTTGTTTAAGTCGTTGTTGTCGTTGGAGAAACGGTAAGTCCCAAATTTTACACAGAAAGAATGTTTTGTTTCGTTTTTTAAAGTGTCCAATTTTTTATGGTTGTTTCGCATGTTATATTCACAGTGAAGTGCGACAGAGTATTGGACACAATATTCAGGATATGTTGATACAGTGTGCGTTTGCTGGTCGGATGTGTTTTCAGAGGTACACCATACACCGCATAGACTCATGTACATCTAATGATAGAGACATACATTTTGAGGGATATGCTCATGTACGCATTTACTAAGGATTACACACAAATTCAAATACACCAACACAACATAGCAGCACATACATACATACATAAATAAATATAAATATACAAATACACACATACCTATACAAAAGCCTTTTTTTCGTATCCCCCCCCCCCCCCCCCAGCGATTTTGTCCTGACCCAGTGGTCCACCTACGGGAACTGCTACACCTTACAGTACCCGGAGTTTGTTAGTCGTAGGAGTGGACCAGCTGATGGTAGGTGGTTAGGTGGTTAGGTGGTTGTGTGGTGGTTGTGTGGTGGTTGTCTGCTGGTTGTCGGGTGGCTGTGTGGTTCTTTGTTTGTGTGGTTGTGTGGTTGTTTGGTTATCTGGTTGTGTGGTTCAGTAATTCTGTGGTTGTGTGGTTTATGGCTCAGTCGTTATGTGGTTGTGTGGTTGTGTGGTTGTATGGTTCAGTGGTTCTGCTTTTGTAGTCAGTGGACCAACTGACGGTACGGCTAATTTCTATTGGTCAGTAAACAGTCTGCTATAGAATGTGAACCTATAAGATAATCTTCAATCGTCAGTCTTATAATGCGTTATTTTTATGCCGCTGGAGCTTTTTTCCACGTAAAAATATTGTTCAACAAAATGAGCAGTATAAAATTATCCAACTAAATTACTTGATCGCCTGATGTATGCTGGGGGAAACCACTCATACATTCACTAAATCTCTATCAGTTTAGAGTTATTTTACTTAGCCGAAAAGGACTCAAAAACACATACGTTTTTGGATTATGTAATGGGTCCGCGTGGTCAAGTCAGTAAAGCTCATGGTTGCTAAACCGAAAAGACTCGAGTTCGAACCCTCGAAATTGGAGTCAATGGCATCAATAGGGCATATCCAATTGACAGGTATATTTAATTGTGTTGGAGGGGATCTCTTCCAACCTAAAGCTAAGAACAAAGAAGTAGAAGAAGAAGCAATTCGTGTCAGAATATCAAACATTGAACACACGCACTGTGTAATACAGCTGTTGGATAATTTTTCCTCATTGATGTGTGAAATGTGGGATATACTTCTAGAATACAAAGATTAAATTATGCCTTGTTTGAAGTGACCAAACCTAAGAAATATTTTGAAAGGAATTGAGCTGATCCTGTACCTGGAGACGGACGAGTACATCCGGGGTATCTCTACAGGTAAGGGGGCCCACGTCGTCATACACGAGCAGGAGACGGTGCCTTTCCCCACAGAAGAAGGCATCGCTATAGTTGCTGGAACTCAGTCTATCATTGGCATCAGACAGGTGAGAAGATTCTAGAACTATTTTAGGAACATTGGCGTCACATAGGTGAGATAGTTCTAGAACTATTTTTATTAACATTGGCATTAGAGAGGTGAGATGATGGTTACAACGTTACCAGGAACAGTTTCAACAAGGGGTAGTTGGGGGAGAGGGGGTTAAAAAGTGTGATGTCAAACATTTGAATTTTTAATCTTTTTTATATTTTTAAAAACTGTATGTAAAAAGTCATTATAAATCTTTGAACGTGTCTTATTTTTAAATTCTTTTTAAAATTGATCACTGTGAGCTAAAATTTTAAATAGTGACTAGTGACGTTTACACATTGTAAATTACCTGCGATTTAAGTCAACCGAAGTGTGACTTTTGGGAAAATAGTGGGACTTTGTTGAAGGAAAGGTTACTGCTAAATAAACATGACGTCAATTATTGACGACTCGTTACATTTCATTTTGACAGGTCGAGATTTCACGCATGGGTGAACCTTACGGCAGGTGTACGGATGTGAAGGTGTTCAAAGAGAAGTATGGTGTCAAGTACACTCGTATGGTGGGTGCTTTGTTACACTCGTTTGTTGTGTGCTTTGTTATACTCGTTTGGTGGGTGGTTTGTCACCTTTGTATGGTAGGTGGTGGGTGGCTTGTTACACGCATATGATGTGTGCTTTGTTACATTCGTATAGTGGGTGCTATATGTTGGTCGGTGGGTGCTTTGTTACATTCGTATAGTGAGTGCGATATGTTGGTCGGTGTGTGTTTTTACATTCGTATAGTGGGTGCTATAGGTTGGTCGGTGGGTGCTTTGTTACATTCGTATAGTGGGTGCTATAGGTTGGTCGGCGGGTGCTTTGTTACATTCGTATAGTGGGTGCTATAGGTTGGTCGGTGGGTGCTTTACTTCACTACCATCTTATCTGTTAGCTATTCCTGAACGTTTGTATTTGAGTTAGCAACACAGTTTATCAATCTTTTTAAAATTGTCATTTCCAGTAGACATTTTTCTTTCATCTCTTAAGAATTTTAAACCATTCTTTAATCATTTTTAGAATGTACCCGTTTAACTAAATGTGACGAAAAAATCTAAATTTTTACAACCGCACTCTTTTTTACTTTCTATGAAATACCTTTATAATGGTGTAGTGGTTTAAAATACACGACTATACAGACATTAATTATCTTTGAATGATATTAGGTGAGCCAAAAGACATGATTAAATACACATTATATATGTATCGATAATGTTAGGTGTGCCAAAAGACATGATTACATACACAATATATATCTATCGATGATGTTAGGTGTGCCAAAAGACATGATTACATACACATTATATACCATTGAATAACGTTAGGTGTGCCAAAAGACCTGCGAACAAAACCTGATCAGACAGAGCTGTGGATGTTATGACGAGCTGCAAGAGGAAGTCAACGTCATATTAAAGAATCCTCTCAACCTGAGGCCGTGCCGCACACGGAAAGGTCAGTTAAAGAATCCTCTCAACCTGAGGCCGTGTCGCACACGAAAAGGTCAGTTAAAGAAACCAGTCTATCGCCATGTCGTACACGAAAAGGTCAGTTAAAGAATCCAGTTTATCGCCATGTCGCACACGGAAAGGTCAGTTAAAGAATCCTCTCAACCTGAGGCCGTGTCGCACACGGAAAGGTCAGTTAAAGAATCCTCTCAACCTGAGGCCGTGTCGCACACGAAAAGGTCAGTTGAAGAATCCTCTCAACCTGAGGCCGTGCCGCACACGAAAAGGTCAGTTAAAGAATCCTCTCAACCTGCCGCCATGTCGCACACGGAAAGGTCAGTTAAAGAATCCAGTCTATCGCCATGTCGCACACGAAAAGGTCAGTTAAAGAATCCTCTCAACCTGATGCCATGTCGCACACGGAAAGGTCAGTCAAATAATCCAGTCTATCGCCATGTCGCACACGGAAAGGTCAGTTAAAGAATCCTCTCAACCTGCGGCCATGTCGCACACGGAAAGGTCAGTTAAAGAATCTTCTCAACCTGAGGCCGTGTCGCACACGGAAAGGTCATATTAAGAATCTTCTCAACGCAAGACTGCTAACCCTTAAGACTCAAGTTCGAATCCCGTACCCCCACCCCACTCAGACCTAATGCTTACCTGACTCACGATAAGAAAGGTCAAGGTGATAATGCATACTGCTGACCACACTATGCTTTCCTATTTCGTGGTAACATGAACTCTACTTTCTCTGGAAATGGACCGTCGAGTCAGAAAATGTAACATTACGGACTCAATATTAGGCGCTGAGTTTACAAGACTGCACTTCTGTGATCTATCTCTTGACCACGCATATTGGCCTAAACTAAAACTCCAGATAATGAAAGGGGCTAATTAAGCTTCTGCGGTTAAATATGGTTGTATAATATTCATTCATGGTTACATTACTGCTTCTACTGGTCAAGATCTATTTTTCAATCCCCGCCCCATCCCCTCCCCCAGACAAGAAGTGCGCCAATGCCATTGAACTCAAGTTTGGTGAAGCGTCGTCAGCAATGTGTGGGTGTGACAGCCCATGCAGGTGAGAGTGTTCACATTATGTTAATTTATGCATAAAACACGTCTAGTTTCATGCAGATACATGTGTTGCAGTGTACAGGATGAAGAGACCATGGTTGTTATATTCTCCAGGCACATTGATGATTGACAAATCTGTTTGCGAGTATCGGGGGGGGGGGGGTCTAATGAACTCGACTTAAGAACAATAAGAACAAGTAAACAGTATCACTAGTGTAACATACCGTTTCTGAAATTCGATGCTGAATCTGGAACAATAAATCATAACATGAAGCTTTTGAAGTGTACTCTTATTTGCATATTAAATTTATACTTTTTCTCGTTCTGTTAAATAATATGTATTTTTTTCTTGTTAATTTCTTTCCAGTGAAAAGAAGTACGATAAAACAATAACATTAAGACAATGGCCGAGTCCTTCATTTGCTGTAAGTTGACCACTGGACTGTAATGACATAATTATTGTTCATATTCAACAAATGGTAGTACACATGTTAGAATAAAGTATTGCATAATGTTTGATCTTGCTCTCTATCACTCGATCACGTATTGTGATAAAATGGGTCACTTAAGGTGAACATATATTATCATTGTCGTTACGGATACGGCATAAATGTATGTCAAGTCTTCTTATATATTTTTATATACAAGTGAGGTCACTGTTATATTAAAAAGAAGACACAAATAGTTTTTGAACGATCTAGTCTTTTTAAAAGAGTTTATCTAGCCCATTTTCATTTGTTTTCAATCGAAAAAAATTATAAATTTAATAAATATAAATTATTTAAAATTTTTACTATTTTACGGAACAGTAATGAACCATCTTCACTTAAAGAATGGCGTCTACTGTATCAGTCCATTTAATCTGCTTTCTTGCAGTTGAAAGAATTTGTACATTATTAAGTGTAAACTAGTAAGAAACAATTACAAATACATAAGTATTCTATTACTATTTTGTAAAATGCTTTGTGTTGTAGATTAACGCACATGTAACAATTGTTAAGAGGAACTGTTATACAGAAAAACTCTACCTATGAATGTATTATAATAATTTATATTCTAATATTTTGATCGTCTATTTCCGCTGCCAGATTTTGATGCGAGAGATTATATGTAAGGAAAGGGAAGGAACACAGTGTGTCAGGCTACGGAACAAAACAAGTACAGAGTTGTCGTAAGTTTAGACGCGTATTGCCAGCAGATACTTTAAAAAAAAATTAAAACATTTTATGAGAGTCATCAATAATCAATACTACATTTCAAGTGTTTTTAGAAAATGTTTCAAAATTAAACAGATGAGAAAAAAAACACTTTAATTTAAACGAAATTGATAATTAAATATCAAAAGCAAATCTCTACTTTGCGGAGTTGTTGAAATTTTTGAAATGTGCGTGAAATATTTCAGAAAGTTTTTTTTTTTAAATACAGACAAGAATTTATAAAACTGAACGTTTTCTTCGAAGATTTAAACTATGAGCATTTGTCTGAGGAGGCTGATTATGAGGTATTTGTTATTGGATGTGTTTTCAACTATTTCGGTTAATAACTTTTTAGGCATTTGTTATACCTATATATACTTTGAGTTGAGACAATTGATTGTATAATGTGTATTGTAATATATATTGTATAAATATTGTATAAATATTGTAGAAGATAAAAAAACCACTCATATATATATATATATATATATATATATATATATATATATATATATATATATATATATATATATATATATATATATATATATACATACAATTATTTGTATATATATATACATAAATATACATATTATATATACATATATATATATATATATATATATATATATATATATATATATATATATATATATATGTGTGTGTGTGTGTGTGTGTGTAGGTACGCCTATACAGTTCTCGTCTCTTTCAGTTGTCCCAGTACATCTCTGACATAGGCGGCACCATCGGCCTGTGGGTGGGGCTCTCACTGCTGGGTGTTGTGGAAGTCTTTAAGCTGTTAGCTGACGTCATCATTTACCTTGTGGGTCGGCTCAGGAAGGCAAACAGACAAAATTCTTACACAATTCATTAAAATTGTCTACCGTCTTCTTAAATAATCTTTACCTGTGTCAAATTGACTTATTAAAAAAATGTCTAATATACTACTAAATACGGCCTATTCAATAGAATGTGCATATTATATAATACATTTGTGTAATTAGAGTTTTTGTAATCAGTTTATATTATGTAACAAAATAAGCAGACATCTTAAGAAGTATTAAAATCTCTAGAATCTCTAGCATGGCATCCTATAATTATATGATTAAACAGTGTATTGAGGTTATGCAAAAATTATATCCGGAGTTACATTAACGAAGCCAATTAAAGTCTTTAATTTTTTTTGGAATGAAGATGTATTCCCTTTCTATCATGTTTTAAATATGCAACCAGTTATGAAATTCCAGTTTGAAAGGGACATTTGATATTCGAACAAGTTCTTGCCTACTCCACACATTTAATGTGTAGACAAAGCATATAATTGATTGACGGTCTAAAGGCCGGGAACTGTTTTAATATGCGTGAAAGTATTGTCCTAAAGGCCGGATAGACGGGCCTAATGCACATCATCCATGCGAAAAACTTTAAAATAAAAAAAAACCACATAGTGGTCAATCGTGGGCTATTTAAATACGACATAGTGGTCAATAGTGGGCTATTTATTAAGCGAAAATAACAACAATAGTACATTTGCATTCAATAATGTTAATTAAAATTTATTTAAGTGCCATTATGTTTAGGGATGAATTTAAGAGTGTTACTTGTGAGTTGAAGTGTCCAAAATAGGTTAGCATTACCATTGTGGCGAATAAGTAAGCGAAGTTAATCTCCACTTATCTCCTACACCCATCACCAGCATCTTCATTAAGCTCAAGTCGGCTGATTAACAAATTAAATCCTCTTTGTTACATCCGTTTGTTTACATTATTTTCTGTTGTACTCATACAATACTTGTCAATTATAAAAAAAAAAATTCTTATTAAAACCCACGTAATAACCCTCCCCCCCCCACACACACACACAAACGCGCATGCACACCTACACACAGAGAAAAACACACACAGACACATACACAAGAAACGTCTACAATAGCTGGCAACTAACGCGGTACATGACACGTAGATACAAGTTACTAACCTGGTGCAATGAAGCGTGACCAGGGTAGGTGTTGGTCCTGCACTCGATTAACCTCTGTATCCCGGAGCCATTGATCTTAAAATATCCCAGTGGATATTCTTAGAGCACCCCTTACAATACAACTTTATATTGGAACCTGAATCAACATTGTAAGAAAGCCTGCATTAAAATAGAATAAAAATAGTTTATAATGAACACACATAGAAAAATGGTTCTTTATGTTAGGAGTTATTTCTTTTTAAAAAGCAACTTAAATATTTTAAATCGTTTAAATAAATGTATTTTAAAAATGTAACATTTCTTTTTCATAGCTAAAGCGTCGACATCATCTACATAAAGGCTTTATTTAATAACTAGAACGGGTCCTGTAAACCAGGGGTCTCCAAACTTTTCAGTCCGAGGGCCACATCAACTATGAAATTTCAGTTTAGGGGCCAGTTTCTTCCAGGCATGTCTTTGATTTTTCTGGGAAAAGTTCCTCAGCAATCACCTACAAAATTTATTTCCTTGGACAAAAAGATCTTCGCGGGCCGTAGTTTGGAGACCCCTGCTGTAGACTATATGTTATTTTATTTGCCCGTAAGTTAAAATATCTGCCTCCATTTGTTCCAGTTAAGTTGTATCACATTTCTGTATACTTCTGTTAATGGGACAATAGACTAGCAACCATAATTCAGTGGATAGGATGGCAGTCTAGCAGCTATAATTTAGTGGCAAGTTAGAAACTATAATTCATTGGATAGGACGGCATGTATGCAACTATGCTTGCAAAGTTCATCAACCTGAAAGTCTTTTTAAATTATCTAATATGAACTGTTAAAAATAAACTAATTACGTTAAATTAAATAGATTATACAGGTTAATATTTTATTTGTTTGTTTTTTATCTGTAAATTTGAACGGTAATTTTTCTCCAACTCAATTAAGAATTAGTTTACGCCATATAACCCGTTGCAAAATATGTTCAACAATATTTTCCCAATTTTACGCAAGTCTCAATGTTCATTTTCGTCTTGCCTTTTATTAGCCAATAATTGACACCTTGTTTTCTGCATGTTAAAGACGTAGTTTGACTAATTTAGCTTAGTGGTGTCATGTGACTTGTTTTGGTTACCAAATTGCCACAAAAATCGCCTGTCCTGTTTCGTACATTCAGGCCACAGTATTGTGTTTAAGAGTTCGCTGCCGATTTGTTCACATCAACAAATGACTGACTAGTGCCAATGTTTACCTATCAGCACATGACTGACTAATGTCAATGAAATATTTAAAACTTGGTCAAGTCTTCACAACAGGGGCACACAACTTGACAGACGAAATAATAACAAGTTCTTTACAGTAAAGAGAGGGCTGGTTAATTATAGAATAATTCTGGGTGTCTTTGTGCTAGATTTATAGACCTAGTACTGCACAAATAATTCGTACGGAACTGTCAAATAATACTAAAATACAATTAAAACATGGAAGAATGGGTCATTTTGTGTGTAGAAACTGCTGTCGTTAAATATTTTAGCGTGGTGTACTGGGTCCGCATTTATTCGTCATCATTTCGTTTAAGTATCGAATGAAATGATTGAGTACATTGGTTAATAAAATATTGCAATCGACGGTGTAGTTGTGACGGTTACTTACAAAGATTAATACGATCATTCAATTTGACCTATTTAGAGTTTTCGCAGCACTGAATGATAATCGAACTCTAAGCAATCGATATCTCAAGGATTAAATTGTTTATTAGTAACGAATACAATCAACATCTAGAAACGCACTGTTAAATGGTTCCACCAGCGCGCCGCGTACACACTTTTTTCAAGCAACAGAAGAACTTTTTTTCACAAGTCAACATATTGTCCTCATTTGGCGTTAAGGCAAAGGTTTAAAATGTCGGTAAGTTTTAAAAACTGTCATATGTATGTATAAAAAAATAATATATATATATATATATATATATATATATATATATATATATATATATATATATATATATATATATATATATATATATAAATGGATTATTTAAGCCATTCTACTATACTAATTGTATAAGATAGATAGGCATTTTAGTGATTGTCACGAATTACAACTTACCGGTTTCATAAAACAATTATATTGAATATACAGTTGTATGTACACACACACTGTCATATGTATGTAGCAATATATAGATTATTCCTGATCCACAGGTGGCACCAACAGACATAGCTTCCAGCCGTACCTCCATTAAAGAATCAGAAACCAAGAAAGAAATATTTGTAACTGGATTACGTAACATATTTACCGGCTATGCGGAAATCGCGTCTTTAAATGGCGTCCAGCCCATCAAAGCGTCCACTAACTCAGTGGTTAAAATCATATGGGCGGCACTGATGGTCATTTCTATTGGGGCCATGTTGTATCACCTGTACAGGTAAGATCAGGTAGAGAAAAAAAGCAATAGCTTATTTATTTAGATGAAAGAAAAATATTTTACTGCGTCGTGATTTTCATAAAGTATTTTAGCAATTCTTTCATCCTAAAACTTTTATAATTCCCTCACTAGTGGATTTTCTGGCTATGGTTTCACCTTTTTGAAGAAAAAAAAGAGGTGATTGAAAACATTTTAAAAAATTAGTAATATGTTTTCTTCAACAGTACGAATCAAACTTTGGAATTATTCTAATACTCTTCATTTTCACTACTCACCCCAAAAAAAAACATTTGTTAATTTTTCTCCCAGTGCATTTTAAACCTTTTATTACCGAAGATTTAATTATATGTAAACACACCCTCTTATCCCCCAGCCAATTTGATCGATATTTCCAATACAACACAAATACTCAGGTGGAGGTGACGTTCAGCTCTATTCAGTTCCCAGACGTGACTGTTTGTAACAACAACATCATGAGATTATCAAAGGTAGGGGAGTGTACTCCGTTTTATTGAAAAGGGAAGTAATAATTTACTCACACTATGTTAGAATGAGAGAAACTGTAATTTTAGTTTCAGCATGAATGGGAAAAAGTAAGGACAATTTAAAAAAAAAAAGATTTTTTCAAAAGGGCTTTTGATATAATATGGACGGACGAATGTACAGACGGACAGACGGACATACAAACAGCCAGACAGGTTACAAATGTTGTTGTTTACTCTGGTTATCTACGTTTATATTATCTATTGATATCAATATCAGTAAACACAATGTATATGAACCGTTTTAGTCATTTTGTCTGATCACCAGAGAGACAGCGCCAGCATCGAAGTCAGATTCCTCATACAAGATGCGCTTGTAGAATGTGGTTTTGATTACACCAATAGCACCATCAATGCCAACACTGGATTGCGGTGGTAAAGAAAGGCTATAAAGTAAAAAACAAGTTAATTAAAAAAGTCTAGTGACATTTATGCGCAATTTCCTTATGTTATCTAAAAATAGCTTTGACGTATAATGCTGGGGTGCGTTCAAGCTAGAAGAACGATCGGTTTGTAGGTGTTTATGTAATTTTAAAATTTGTGCCCGAACGAGAGGATATTTTTGAAAACCTTCTTCGGCAATATTGTTCTAAATTATGGCAAGAATCGATTGGTACATGTTTCAAGTCGCTAAGTGGTCTGGTTGCCGAGATATGGGCAAAAAACTGCATTTTTTCGAGGTTTTTTGGCTTTTCCGGGAAATACATGAAAGAAACCCGGATTTTTTATGGCCTATGCTCATCCTCGTAACTTGCTTAACATAATTGCTTTTGGAACTAGTCATCCATATTGCTTCGTTGAGGAGGAGATACGACTTAAAGCCGCGGACACACATCCATCCATCCATTCATTCATACATCCAGAAATGACGGGTTAATAAACGCAATTCTCCAGAATGGAAATTGCGCTAAAAAATAAAGAACATTTGAGATCAGAAATTTGCAAGTTAATTACACTACAGACAAAAACTTTACGCATAAATGTAATACACATACCTTAATTAGATTGTTTAATTAGTTTATATATATATATATATATATATATATATATATATATATATATATATATATATATATATAATTTTCTTCATCACAGTATAACAGAAACGGACGCATAGCTTTATTTAATTATGACAACGTATTTCTTCTATGCCACATAGACTGCACTCCATGGACATAATTATATTTACATATATAAATGAAACTATTCACCCTTGTTTAGTATCCGGGGTTGTATGCTATAATACTGTGCAAAACCTGTGATTTGATTTCTAATACTTCTGTCGTTAATCGAACTTAGTATATAATATACAATAATATACAATAGTATCTAGAACTAAAAGGATCGAGGTGGTCGTATGGTTGAGTACAGGACTTCTAACACAGTCTAGAGTTCAGATCCAAGGCAAGAATACGTACCTTAGTCCACCTTACGATAAGGGGTTCCAGACTCACGTTAGGTAAAGTTCTGACCAGACCCTCACTGCCTATACCGACATCACATAAACAGGTGAACTCTACTTCAACAGACCGCCAGGTTCGAAAGGTTAACCACTACAACAAATGCTATCTATATATAACTCTCTTTTTTATGATAAGAAACTCATAACTTGGTAAGTAGTAACAACTTAAGTGTACATTAAGAAATGTATGATTGTTTGTCAGTTTAGATCAAAGAATATTTTTCTTTAAACAGATAGATCTAGTAGAAAATGATGACAGTTTAATAAGCTTCTTTAAATACGTTTTTATTGATGCTTTCGGAGCTCAAGCAGAGTAAGTCTTTCATCGTTTTAGGTTCATTTTTGTTGTTCGATTTAGGTTCAAGTGTTTCAATCCTAAATACTTGACATTTTTGTTGTTCGTTTTAGGTTCAAGTGTTTGAATCCTAAATACTTGACATTTTTGTTGTTCGTTTTAGGTTCAAGTGTTTCAAATCTAAATACTTGACATTTTTGTTGTTCGTTTTAGGTTAAAGTGTTTCAAATCTAAATACTTGTCATTTTTTTTGTGGTAAAGAAAAATATTCAACACTTTTTTGTGGAGTTCTAGTGTATAAAATAGTTATTTTAGATAGCAGAAGCGATTTTGTTAGTAATATTTTTTTAACGTAAAAGCAATATTTATCTTCATTGATTAATAATGTCATATAACCGCATTACGCTCCCCACTATCGAATTGATTGAATTTTGAACAGAAACAGTTTCTTGGAAATCGCTCAGTTTTATTAGGGCACAATTTCTGTCCGTTGTTTGGCAAGACTCGTATTTAATTCTGACCCACAACCGACGCAGCTATTTTCAAACTAATTTGTGCCCGACGACAACATAAGAATCTAATTTTCAATTTGATTGTACATAAATTAGTCTTGAAAATATGAACATTAATTTGAAGATTACTATAACCGATAATTTAAATAAAAAAGGGGGGGGGGGGGCGGGGGTTATAACCAAATTAATTATAAGCACTACTCAATCATTCAAGTAATTTTGATTCAGAGCTGTTTTCATACATGAGACCCAACGGTACGCGGTGCTTTGACCACAGCTGCTTTGATCTTTGGGAATTTGACCGTAGGTGGTTTGTCCATTGCGGGGCTTTGACCGCGGTTTTTTTTTTAAATAAATAGTAAGGTTATAAGCTACGTATTCGTATATTTTGAAAAGGCACAAACAGTTGTGAAAATTATATCTCAAGTTGCATCGCGATGTAATAGTATGATTATGCAAGTTATCTATGGATAAAAACATAGGAAATATGCAGCTAGTAACGATATACGTAACGTTGTTTGTTGTCTTACCTTCTTATCTCATGTACCAGTCCAAGATGTTACGTTAGAATTTATGGATTTAAGGGTTAGGGTTAAGGTTAAGGGGTTAGGATTATTTTAAGGGTTAGCAGTTAGAAGGTTAGGGTTATATTTAGGCTGATTTCCAATTAAAAATTTGTGTCAAATTGTTAATTTATGTTGATTTACTTTATTCTTTAACTCAACAGCTCAATTAAAAAAGAACTAGGTCACCAGGAAAAACCGCTGCTACTAAAATGCAAATTTGCACAAAAGCAATGCAAAATTGAGTGAGTAAAAAGATAATTTACGTGGAAACATCTTTTGTAATATTTGTCTTTGTTTTCTTCTTCTTCTTGGCTCCATGGCGTGAAGAGTTAGTTTTCATTAACAAAGTACTTTTTAAAGAATAAGGCATGAACGTCCCTCCCCCTCCCAACAAACCAAACGATACTTCTAATAAAATCCTCAGTGACAATTTAGATCTACCCCTTTTCTTCTTAACCTTCGGGCTAAGCTCCTAATTTAATAGATATAAGATATAAGAGTGTGACCTACTTTGTGCTGAGATTTTTCTCCGTTGATAATATGTCTTTCAGACATTTTATCTGTGAAATCATTTGTATTGAGAAATTGTTTCTGGAATATTTCGTCTTTTAACTCTTTTTTCTGAGATATTTTGAATGAGATCTTTTGGTATATAAATTTTGTTATCTTAACTAATATATATATATATATATATATATATATATATATATATATATATATATATAAAATATATTTTACATATATATATATATATATATATATATATATATATATATATATATATATATATATATATATAATGACTGATAAGCTTTAAATGAGATATTGCTACGTTTATGTTGTAACTAAGGTTTTGTGACTGAGATACTGTGACAGATATTTTGGCAGAATTATTTTGACACAATATATAACATTCACGAACCGACGACTTATATTGTCACTCATGTGACTGACTACAGTAAGCATAGAACTGTGTCTTAAATATATATGTTGAAACAATGTATCAATGTTGTCCAGGCACTACGACCAAGTGCTATCACCAAACTACGGTAACTGCTACACCATACACAACTCCAAAATTTGTCACAACAACTAGCGGAATATCTGGAGGTAAGATTTCAAGATATTTATAATAAACAAGTGAATACTCTCGGCCTTGGTTGAAGTCTGAACAGATTATTTTGTAAAACGTTGCTTGATATCCTGCAGGTCTGGAACTGATATTGTTCCTGGAGAACTTTGAATACCTGCCTCGTCTGACCAGCGGTCAAGGTGCTGTTGTGGTCATCCACGAACCTGGGACAGTCCCTAACATTGACGGGGAGGGGATCTTTGTTAGCGCTGGAACTCAGACACTTATCGGCTTGAAACAGGTGAAATCTTACATCTATATTTGGCTACGTAAACATTTCCGCATTTATTGACATAATTATATGGTCAAGCAGTATTTGTTCTATCGTTTGTTTAGCTCAGCTGCTCCCAAAAAAACATATTTTCACAACATTGTCCATTCATTATTGAGTTATAGAAAAATCTTTACATTAAAAAAGACTTCGTTGGAAATTTAGCGTGCTATACTTCAACTTTTGGATCGTGCTTTGTATAAATTAATTTGAAGGCCGTAGCCCAAACACTCGTTTAAAACTTGCCCGAAATGACAGGTCCTAACGAGCACATACACTAGTATTGTATAGGAGTGCCGGACGTTTACCCAAATGAACACTTACCCGAATATGCAGATTGCCCCGTTTAAATGTCCGTTTATGTCTTTGTCTCATTCGGGCAAGTGTCCATCCTGACTATTGGCATTCGAGCAAGTGTCCATCCTGACTATTGGCATTCGGGCAAGTGCCTTTCGGAATTTGTCGTAGACCCATCGTATAATTAAGTATATACATAAGTAAACTAATTCATTGTATAAATAATTAAAATAATTAAGTACATAAATAAGTAAAATAATTAAAACGAAAACCGACTTCTACAGGTTGTCTTTAACCGTCTTGGTCCTCCATATGGGATATGTCAGCAGGATGACAGTTTTAAGGACAAGTATAACATCACATACAGAAAAAATGTGAGTTACCGTTCTTTAACAAATTTATTATTTGAATGATTTACCTTTGGCTTATATCTTTTTTATTACCAAATTTTACAGCAGTTAAACGTAACTTTTTCCGTAAAATCGGTTGCTATAACAATGCGACAGAAAACAGAAAATAAGCACAATAAACCGTACTTTTGAAAGAAATCATGTTTATAAAATATCATGATTAAATGCAACACGTATCATAAAGGCTTGTCATGTATTATCTGCCTTGTAATATTTCACACAAAACTAACGTGTACCATCTGCCTGGTAATATTTCACACCAAACTAACATGTACCATCTGCCTGGTAATATGTCACACCATCTAACGTGTACCATCTGCCTGGTGAAATTTCACACCAAACTAACGTGTACCATCTGCCTGGTAATATGTCACACCATCTAACGTGTACCATCTGCCAGGTAATATTTCCCACCAAACTAACATGTACCATCTGCCTGGTAATATGTCAAACCATCTAACGTGTACCATCTGCCCTGTAATATTTCCCACCAAACAAACATGTACCATCTGCCTGGTAATATTTCACACCAAACTAACATGTACCATCTGCCTGGTGATATTTCACACCAAACTAACGTGTACCATCTGCCTGGTAATATGTCACACCATCTAACGTGTACAATCTGCCAGGTAATATTTCCCACCAAACTAACATGTACCATCTGCCTGGTAATATGTCACACCATCTAACGTGTACCATCTGCCCTGTAATATTTCCCACCAAACTAACATGTACCATCTGCCTGGTAATATGTCACACCATCTAACGTGTACCATCTGCCCTGTAATATTTCCCACCAAACAAACATGTACCATCTGCCTGGTAATATGTCACACCAAACTAACATGTACCATCTGCCTGGTAATATTTCCCACCAAACTAACATGTACCATCTGCCTAGTAATATGTCACACCATCTAACGTGTACCATCTGCCTGGTGATATTTCACACCAAACTAACGTGTACCATCTGCCTGGTTATATGTCACACCATCTAACGTGTACCATCTGCCTGGTAATATGTCACACCATCTAACGTGTACCATCTGCCCTGTAATATTTCACACCAAACTAACATGTACCATCTGCCTGGTAATATTTCACACCAAACTAACATGTACCATCTGCCTGGTAATATTTCACACCAAACTAACATGTACCATCTGCCTGGTAATATTTCACACCAAACTAACATGTACCATCTGCCTGGTAATATTTCACACCAAACTAACATGTACCATCTGCCTGGTAATATGTCACACCATCTAACGTGTACCATCTGCCTGGTGATATTTCACACCAAAGTAACGTGTACCGTCTGCCTGGTAATATGTCACACCATCTAACGTGTACCATCTGCCAGGTAATATTTCCCACCAAACTAACATGTACCATCTGCCTGGTAATATGTCACACCATCTAACGTGTACCATCTGCCTGGTAATATTTCCCACCAAACTAACATGTACCATCTATCACGTAATATTTCACACCAAACTAACATGTACCATCTATCACGTAATATTTCCCACCAAACTAACATGTACCATCTATCACGTAATATTTTACACCGAACTAACATGTACCATGTATCACGTAATATTTCACACCAAACTAACGTGTACCATCTGCCTGGTAATATTTCACACCAAACTAACATGTACCATCTGCCTGGTAATATTTCACACCAAACTAACATGTACCATCTGCCTGGTAATATGTCACACCATCTAACGTGTACCATCTGCCTGGTGATTATTCACACCAAACTAACGTGTATCATCTGCCTGGTAATATGTCACACCATCTAACATGTACCATCTGCCTGGTAATATTTCACACCAAACTAACATGTACCATCTGCCTGTTAATATTTCACACCAAACTAACATGTACCATCTGCCTGGTAATATGTCACACCATCTAACGTGTACCATCTGCCTGGTGATATTTCACACCAAACTAACGTGTACCATCTGCCTGGTAATATTTCCCACCAAACTAACATGTACCATCTGCCTGGTAATATGTCACACCATCTAACGTGTACCATCTGCCCTGTAATATTTCCCACCAAACTAACATGTACCATCTGCCTGGTAATATGTCACACCATCTAACGTGTACCATCTGCCCTGTAATATTTCCCACCAAACTAACATGTACCATCTATCACGTAATATTTCACACCAAACTAACATGTACCATCTATCACGTAATATTTCACACCAAACTAACGTGTACCATCTGCCTGGTAATATTTCACACCAAACTAACATGTACCATCTGCCCTGTAATATTTCCCACCAAACAAACATGTACCATCTGCCTGGTAATATTTCACACCAAACTAACATGTACCATCTGCCTGGTAATATTTCACACCAAACTAACATGTACCATCTGCCTGGTAATATGTCACACCATCTAACGTGTACCATCTGCCTGGTGATATTTCACACCAAACTAACGTGTACCATCTGCCTGGTAATATTTCCCACCAAACTAACGTGTACCATCTGCCTGGTAATATGTCACACCATCTAACGTGTACCATCTGCCTGGTGATATTTCACACCAAACTAACGTGTACCATCTGCCTGGTAATATTTCCCACCAAACAAACATGTACCATCTGCCTGGTAATATGTCACACCATCTAACGTGTACCATCTGCCCTGTAATATTTCCCACCAAACTAACATGTACCATCTGCCTGGTAATATGTCACACCATCTAACGTGTACCATCTGCCCTGTAATATTTCCCACCAAACTAACATGTACCATCTATCACGTAATATTTCCCACCAAACTAACATGTACCATCTATCACGTAATATTTCACACCAAACTAACGTGTACCATCTGCCTGGTAATATTTCACACCAAACTAACATGTACCATCTGCCTGTTAATATTTCACACCAAACTAACATGTCCCATCTATGCCAGATCTGCCAGAAGTTGTGTCTACAGGAACAGATCCACCAGAAGTGTAAATGTTACGATAGTGCCAGCCCACAGGAAAATTCTATCATGAAAGTTGCGTCACGGCTTCACCCATGCGAGACTGGAACGGGTAAAAATAGATGATGATAGCAATTTTTTTTCGTTCTTAATTGTAATATTTGAGGGGACATTATTTAACATAAATAATATATACGTTTCAACATGTTATGAATAACTTTGACTCCTATTTTAACCTGATTGTTTTTCTTGATATAATGATACATATTTATGGCTTTAAGTACTGGTCCTACTTTGTATTTTAGGGAGTGAAGATTTAAAATAATTGCCCTGCGCAGATTTAAAGGTTTTAGATAGGTAGATTTCAAGTGATATAACGATCAATAGGCGACTGTTCGTTGAGGTATTAAAAATACAAACCTAAGATACATATTAAGTGTGTGTCTTCATTATTGATGTGAAAAAAGTCAACAGGTAGGAATTGTGAAACCGTAGCTGGGGCATTTTTTTTTTATTGCAGAGTTGATCTGTGCCGCCCAAACAAAATCAACATTCAGCCAAAGTGAAATGTCTTGCACCTGTCCTAACCCATGCAGGTATGTGGGCTGTAAACTTCAAATAGATTTCATTCTCTCCATCTTATTTACACTAGTTTTGCATGCATGTCAAAAATAGGGCTTATCTGCTAATTACTTTATGATACCCACTTTCCAACAGTGGACATTTTTTTACTGCTTGTTGAAAAAATATGTTTGTGAATATTTTAGTCGAAGAATATACCACTAAGAATAACAGTATTAAACAGCATATATATATATATATATATATATATATATATATATATATATATATATATATATATATATGTATATATATATATATATATATATATGTATATATATATATATGTATATATATATATATATATATATATATATATATATATATATATATATATATATATATATATATATATATATATATATATATATATATTCCAAATCTACTTTGGATCCAGTGAGACAGTCACCAGCAGGTCCTTAGCATTTCTACAATGGCCGAGCCAATACGATATAGTAAGAATTATTCCATCATTACGTCATCTTGTTTCTTTTAAAAGTGTGTTCTTATAAAAAAAATTACATTCGCCAAAAAGATGAGGTCTTTAATTCGACCGTAGTTGTAGATTGGTTGAACGTTCTTTCTCCACAGAATGATTTAGCACAAGTGTTTTGTGATGGCAGCTATGACTCCGATTACTGCTCGACAGTTGCAAGTATCGATGTAGCAAATATGACGTACGTCTGCCGTTTACTTGCACATTTTTCCATGTTTTAATGTAACAAAATCCTGTATCTTGCGTTCTCTCAAGGTATACCTTGAAACAACATCATCAGACATGTATTATATCGGAATACTAAATGAAAGGGTAAAGTTGGTAGGCTAACAGAAACATGGAACTGATCAGTTGTAAGTGAAGCACTAGCTTTCGGAATGTTATGGAGAGAGCTTGAAGGAATCGCCTATAGCCCAGTACGAAGGAGGATTGTGGTTGTTTCTTTGTACTCCAGATAAGGTCAAACAAATAATTGTGATGATGTATACCTTGATATAAAAGACTCTTGAAAATTTGGTATAAACAAAAACAAAGATTATGTATAAGTCTGCTTTAGTGATAGTTACAAATTTTTCTTCTTTTATTTTTCAGAAACAACTTCATTAAACTTCTTATTTATTATGATGATTTAAATTATGAAACAATTTCTGAAGTCCCAGATTATGAGGCATGTTAACAATTTCCTATCTTTTCATGTTTTGTATTTTTGTTGTAAAATATACCAAGTGGATCAGTTACACAATATACAGCAACGCCTGCGATACTATTTGAATCATACAGTGAATTATATGTTATTATTGCCCAGTACACAGCTCTTTGCGACATCCATTCAAATCAATGGTACGATCCTTTAGTTTCTGGAGATACCCGATTTTAGATCAAAATGCAAAAGTGGGTGTTGTCATTTTCGTTTCCTATGTATACTTAAACTTTCTAAATTTTCTCAAGCATAAAGCTTTACATTGTTAAATAGTTTAACATTTAAACATGCATGTAGTGAATGGCATAAATGGAGAGGTTAAAAAAAATCTGTTTTATTTGGAAGTTACTTTTGTTTACAGAAGAAATATCAGACACGTTTCCTTGATATTCCTGACAGTTTCAGTTTGAAAATTTGAGTGGCTTGTAAATCCAGACCGACAATATTTTGGTTATACGCCTACTCTTCCGGTAGGCATTGTAATTTATTCAGGGGTTTTTAGTTTATTCAACTCACTGCGCAGAATGGTGGTGCAATACAATTATAGTCAAGTGAACAAAGAAATCGAAATTCTAATAAAGTAGTGCAAAAAGAAAACAAAATATACCAATGTTTACACTCAAATAATTCTTAAAACAGTTTTATTCTTATTTAGGGGTCTATGGAGTCTGCTCTCTTTAGGCACAATTTTTACTTTCAATTAATAGCGATATAATTTAGTGTGCAGTATTTAAGACATAATTTGTTGGTTCCCTTTGCGATTAAAAACTAATCACTGTGTAAAGACCACTGATTTTCTATTTGATTTTATAAATTGTATTAACCTTGACCTTTTTCATGCTTCTTCTTCTTCGTTCTTAATTTTTAGTGTTGGGAGGGATCGAGCCTTATCTGCCAGAGGGTTTGAACTCGAGACTTTTTTCGAATTTATGAACCATGAGCTTTGCCGACTCGACCACGCCGACCCCTATTTTAAAGCTAACATTGATCTATTTTTATGGTAGCCTTGCCCTACTTAAATGCTGACCTTGCCCTACTTGCAGCTGTTCCAGCTCCTATCAGATGTTGGTGGTACCATAGGTCTGTGGATTGGTCTCTCATTACTCAGCCTGTTCGAGGTGCTACAGCTGCTGGCCGAGGTTGTGCTGTTTACAGTTACTCACACTTTCAACTTGTAATTTGTACAGTTACTCACACTTTCAACTCGTAATTTGTACAGTTACTCACACTTTCAACTCGTAATTTTTACAGTTAATCACACTTTCAACTCGTAATTTGTACAGTTACTCACACTTTCAACTTGTAATTTGTACAGTTAATCACACTTTCAACTCGTAATTTGTACAGTTACTCACACTTTCAACTTGTAATTTGTACTGTTACTCACACTTTCAACTTGTAATTTGTACAGTTACTCACACTTTCAACTTGTAATTTGTACTGTTACTCACACTTTCAACTTGTAATTTGTACAGTTACTCACACTTTCAACTCGTAATTTGTACTGTTACTCACTCTTTCAACTCGTAATTTGTACAGTAATTCACACTTTCAACTCGTAATTTGTACAGTTACTCACACTTTCAACTTGTAATTTGTACAGTTACTCACACTTTCAACTCGTAATTTGTACAGTTACTCACACTTTCAACTTGTAATTTGTACAGTTACTCACACTTTCAACTTGTAATTTGTACTGTTACTCACACTTTCAACTTGTAATTTGTACAGTTACTCACACTTTCAACTTGTAATTTGTACAGTTACTCACACTTTCAACTTGTAATTTGTACTGTTACTCACACTTTCAACTCGTAATTTGTACAGTTACTCACACTTTCAACTCGTAATTTGTACAGTTACTCACACTTTCAACTCGTAATTTGTACAGTTAATCACACTTTCAACTCGTAATTTGTACAGTTACTCACACTTTCAACTTGTAATTTGTACAGTTACTCACACTTTCAACTCGTAATTTGTACAGTTAATCACACTTTCAACTCGTAATTTGTACAGTTACTCACACTTTCAACTTGTAATTTGTACTGTTACTCACACATTCAACTTGTAATTTGTACAGTTACTCACACTTTCAACTTGTAATTTGTACTGTTACTCACACTTTCAACTTGTAACTTTTGGGCTCACTAAAGGTGGTTTTTGTGAATCATTTGGCAAATTTATAATTTCCAACCCAATAAGCCCTATATATCTTTAACGGGCTGGCTATACTACTTTGAGTTAAATACTTGGAAGTCTTGATATAGTATTTGATGAAATAAATTACATTTCTTGTCATCTTTTATCTGTGTTGTTTTCTTATTAAAACACAAAGTTTGAACTGCATCATAGATTCATACTGTAACTATTGTTTCTTTCAGACTTGTTTCTCGGGAAGGAGGGGCCGGCACTTGAAATTTAAGGCTGCGGGGGGGGGGGGGGGGGGTGAGAGAACAAAATTTTACAATGCGTTCTCGTTAAAAAGCATTTGTAACACGTGAAATTAGGCTTAAATTAGTTACTAGCCTCTAAATATTTTAATTATTTTCATTGAGTAATTAATATTCACTGGTTAATTATCATACTCAGCTCATACTATTGTTCATTGAATTAGTCAACTCAGCATGCTAAATATTCTTCAGCATTAGAAGCTTTATTTTTATTTGGGTTACGATCCTCTTTCATTACTATGAGTTTTTTTGTAATCATTATGTCTAACTTGCACACCACCGTCCCTCCCACATACACGAACACGCACATACACACACGAAAAAAATATTTGCCATAAACATGCGTAGTCAAATCGTTTAGGCCTAGATCTAGAATCTTTGTTGATTAAATTAACACCTGTTCATTTGTTACTGTCACTCAGTTGATGTGCGACGTGTTACCACGTTTGAAAACTATGTTGGGCACACAACGTCATAAAACCGGTGTGTTGTTAGTGACGTAACCAAAGTGGACAAGCCTACGGTTCCCTTATGGTCCAAGCCCCGCCCCCAGCTGTTTAAGTAAATAAATCTAACCCTTGAAAGAACTCGCGCTCTTTTTAAATTGTTTTAATTACTGGATTAAAAAAATGTGTGATCTGACCCAAACAAAAATTAAGGACATAACGAGCTGCATTTGTTGGAGAGATGATTTAAGTTTAAAAAAAAATCTACGACCAGTTAAATTGAACCGCGTCACGTTGTATGGGGAACTTGAACTAAAAAAAAAGACTTGATTTGTCTAAATCTTTTTTGTGGTAAATTCAATTCAATGTTTCAATAGTATTATTTTAGTTTTGGCCTCCACCCCTCTAAGGTTAAATCCTTATGTCCCTGCCTATGATGCTAAGTTCTCGTTTTTAAATCTTTCACAACAACAAACACGTTGGTGGAGTGAACAGAAAACATACAAATGATGAGAGACATTTTACATTACACATTGTCAACACCTTGAAAAAACACATATTCAAACACCTTCTTCTTTTAAAAAGGTTTAATAATTATTCGAAACATTGACAAATTAAAAAGTATATTATTCTACATAGGTGTGCTAATCATTTTATATTACTGCAACTCTTTATATTTCATATTTATAAGCTGTAATGGCCTCAGACATAAAGCAAATATCGACACACATCACTAGAATAGGATAGAACAAAACAATCCTCTTGAGAAAGGGGCAACATGTGTGTATACGTGTTTCTGTATTCTCTTAACCATAACACCTGTACGTGAAATTAGAATACACATTTAATTATTTTTTTTTTACAATTAAAATAAATGGAGATAAATTGTATTCATTATTAGAAAATTGTAATATATTGAAATTTAATATATATTGAACATTGAAATATATTGAACATTGAAATATATTGAACATTGAAATATATTGAACATTGAAATAAATTGAACATTGAAATAAATTGAACATTGAAATAAATTGAACATTGAAATATATTGAACATTGTAATATATTGAACCTTAATATATTGAACATTGAAATATATTGAACATTGTAATATATTGTACCTTGAAATATATTGAACCTTGAAATATATTAAACCTTGAAATATATTAAACCGTGAAATATATTGAATATTGAAATATATTGAACCTTGAAATATATTGAACTTTGAAATACATGGAACCTTGAAATACATTGAACATTGTAATATATTGAACCTTAATATATTGAACATTGAAATATATTGAACATTGTAATAAATTGTACCTTGAAATATATTGAACGTTGAAATACATTGAACGTTGAAATACATTAAACCTTGAAATACATTGAACATTGAAATACATTGAACGTTGAAATATATTAAACCTTGAAATACATTGAACATTGAAATACATTGAACATTGAAATATATTGAACATTGAAATATATTGAACATTGAAATATATTGAACATTGAAATATATTGAGCATTGAAATATATTGAACATTGAAATATATTGAACATTGAAATATATTGAACATTGAAATATATTGAACATTGAAATATATTGAACATTGTAATAAATTGTACCTTGAAATATATTGAACGTTGAAATACATTGAACGTTGAAATACATTAAACCTTGAAATACATTGAACATTGAAATACATTGAACATTGAAATATATTGAACATTGAAATATATTGAACATTGAAATATATTGAACATTGAAATATATTGAACGTTGAAATATATTAAACCTTGAAATACATTGAACATTGAAATACATTGAACATTGAAATATATTGAACATTGAAATATATTGAACATTGAAATATATTGAACATTGAAATATATTGAGCATTGAAATATATTGAACATTGAAATATATTGAACATTGAAATATATTGAACATTGAAATATATTGAACATTGAAATATATTGAACATTGAAATATATTGAACATTGAAATATATTGAATATTGAAATACATTGAACATTGAAATATATTGAACATTGAAATATATTGAACATTGAAATATTTTGAACATTGAAATATATTGAACATTGAAATATATTGAACATTGAAATATATTGAACATTGAAATATATTGAACATTGAAATATATTGAACATTGAAATATATTGAACATTGAAATATATTGAATATTGAAATACATTGAACATTGAAATATATTGAACATTGAAATATATTGAACATTGTAATATATTGAACCTTGAAATATATTGAATATTGAAATACATTGAACATTGAAATATATTGAACATTGAAATATATTGAACATTGAAATATATTGAACATTGAAATATATTGAATATTGAAATACATTGAACATTGAAATATATTGAACATTGAAATATATTGAACATTGTTATGTATTGAAGATTGAATATTGAGTACCAAGAGATGAGCACCTAGCACAAAATGTGGACAGACACACACACATGGGGTTGGTCAAAATGTTGATTGGTGAAATCTTGAATGCTAACTTACATTTTGTGAAGCGATAAACGAATTAATTAAAGTCTAAAGATGGGTTAAAATTTATAATATTGTTGGGTTAAACATGATTGACTGAAGTCATAGCTGACTAAATGATGTGACAATTTAGTTATTAGAATTGTATTTCTAACTTGAAGTAATACAATAAGCGGTATAGAAACAGGTATACATTACATTTAAGTGTCTTGACAAACAACCTTATTATAATTGTATTTACAATTCGAATTAAAACAATAATCAATAGAAACAGGTATATATTACATCTAAGAGTCTTGACAAATAATCTTGTTATTAGAATTGAATTCCTTATTTGAAGTAAAACAATAGTCATTAAAACAGATATACATAATATAAAAGTGATTCGACTATTGAATTGTATTCCTAATTTGAAGTAAAACAATACATTTAATAGACAGGTGTACAAAATAACCTGTACTTGTTCAGACACAAAGGCTGGCGGAATGAAACAGATCAATATGACTAAATCTCTTATCATTACTGTACTGTTATGCGTATACAGTACTCGGTCTTGGGCAACTGTGTCAACTTGGTGTGTACATCTTGGGCCACTGTGTCAACTTGGTGTGTACATCTTGGGCCACTGTGTCAACTTGGTGTGTACATCTTGGGCCTCTGTATCAACTTGGTTGTGTACATCTTGGGCCACTGTTTCAACTTAGTGTGTACATCTTGGGCCACTGTGTCAATTTGGTGTGTACATTTTAGGCAACTGTGTCAACTTGGTGTGTACATCTTGGGCCACTGTGTCAACTTGGTGTGTACATCTTGCTTGTTTTGATGCCTAGTTGACTGGCTGTATGATTCTATTCTGGCTGGCTGCTTGTTTTGATGCCTAGTTGACTGGCTGTATGATTCTATTCTGGCTGGCTGCTTGTTTTGATGCCTAGTTGACTGGCTGTCAGGGGCGGAACTACCATACCGCCAGACCCCGCAATGCGGGGGGGCCCAGGACGTTTAGGGGCCCATGTCCGACAAAAAAACAATGATTTTTTTCTTTCAAAAATTCAAAAATTATGTTTTTCATGCATCTTGAAAGTGGTTTTGTAAAAAAAAAAAAAAAAAAAAAAAAAAACCAGGTCTACTATAGCAGAGATTGTTGCGTAGAAAAATATTTTAAAATCTACAAGAGCTATAGTTTGAAAGGTAGGCAAACATTCACACTACTTCCATGACTTACTGCCCTTCTTTAAAATAGGGATGCCCACAAAGCTTATTTAAATAGTTTTGTACTATGTATATTAAAAAGCAATTGATTCTCTGAATTATTATTTAAATAAGACAAACTAAACAATGGTATAGCTAAAAGATCAATATTTTCAAAATTGATATTATAAAAGCCAAAACTGAAAAAAATAAACATAACGCGAGAAACCATTCACGAATCAAGCTTACGTCTTTATATATTTTTGACCAGCATATTTTATAGATATTTGATTATTTCTAGCCCAAGATAAGTTTGAACTAAATTTGTCTGGTTGTTTCTCTCAGAATGGTTATATATTGCAATGAAGTAGACTAAATTACTCAGGATATAGATTATATATATATATATATATATATATATATATATATATATATATATATGGGGCCCTAATTTTTTCTTTGCGGGGGAGCCTTTTTTTTCTAGTTCCGCCACTGCTGGCTGTATGATTCTATTCTGGCTGGCTGCTTGTTTTGATGCCTAGTTGACTGGCTGTATGATTCTATTCTGGCTGGCTGCTTGTTTTGCTGCCTAGTTGACTGGCTGTATGATTCTATACTGGCTGGCTGGCTTTGCTTCTGATTAACGTGGCTTGTGTGATTCATGTTAGATTGTTGACAGCATTGGGTTGTTCTTGGTAGGTTGTCAACTAGAGTGTTTTCTTCCCTGGGTTGTCCTATACGGGTTGGACTGCGGCAAGAATTATCTCATCTGGTTGTTTGTTGACTCCTGGGCTGGTTGGCTCCTGGGCTGGTTGGCTCCTGGGCTGGTTGGCTCCTGGGCTGGTTGGCTCCTGGGCTGGTTGGCTGCTGGGCTGGTTGGCTGCTGGGCTGCTTGCTCCGTGGTTGGCTCCTTGGCTGGTTGGCTCCTGGGCTGCTTGCTCCGTGGTTGGCTCCTGGGCTGGTTGGCTCCTGGGCTGGTTGGCTCCTGGGCTGCTTGCTCCGTGGTTGGCTCCTGGGATGGTTGGCTCCTTGGCTGGTTGGCTTCTGGGCTGGTTGGCTCCTGGGCTGGTTGGCTCCTGGGCTGGTTGGCTCCTGGGCTGCTTGCTCCGTGGTTGGCTCCTGGGCTGGTCGGCTCCTGGTTCTGCTCGTCCCGTGGTTGGCTCCTTGGCTGGTTGGCTCCTGGGCTGCTTGCTCCGTGGTTGGCTCCTGGGCTGGTTGGCTCCTGGGCTGGTTGGCTCCTGGGCTGGTTGGCTCCTGGGCTGGTTGGCTCCTGGGCTGGTTGGCTCCTGGGCTGGTTGGCTCCTGGGCTGGTTGGCTCCTGGGCTGGTTGGCTCCTGGGCTGCTTGCTCCGTGGTTGGCTCCTGGGATGGTTGGCTCCTTGGCTGGTTGGCTTCTGGGCTGGTTGGCTCCTGGGCTGGTTGGCTCCTGGGCTGGTTGGCTCCTGGGCTGCTTGCTCCGTGGTTGGCTCCTGGGCTGGTCGGCTCCTGGTTCTGCTCGTCCCGTGGTTGGCTGCTGGGCTGGTTGGCTCCTGGGCTGGTTGGCTCCTGGGCTGGTTGGCTCCTGGCTGGTCGGCTCCTGGTTCTGCTCGTCCCGTGGTTGGCTGCTGGGCTGGTTGGCTCCTGGGCTGGTTGGCTCCTGGACAGCTTGCTCCGTGGTTGGCTCTTGGGCTGGTTGGCTCCTGGACTGCTTGGCTCCAGGGTTGCTCGTCTGTGGGCTGCTCTTAGAGTCGTCAGCTTAGGGGCTGGATGCTGGATAACATCTGGCTAATGGTTGTTCGTTGGTCCGTTGAGTTAGTGGTGTTCGGTTGGTTTTTGTCCGTTGGTTGTTTGTCTGTTAGTGGGTTAGTTGTCGTTCGTTTGTCAGTTGTCGGTTAGTGGTGTTAATTACGTTCGTTGGTTGTTTTTGTCCGTTGGTTGGTTGGTTGGTTGTCTGTTGGTTGGTTGTCTGTTAATTGGTTAGTTGTCGTTCGTATGTCCGTTGTCGGTTAGTGGTGTTAGTTTGGTTCGTTGGTTGGTTTTTGTCCGTTGGTTGGTTGTCTGTTAGTGGGTTAGTTGTCGTTCGTTTGTCCGTTGTCAATTAGTGGTGTTATGTTCGTTGGTTGTTTTTGTCCGTTGGTTGGTTGGTTGGTTGTCTGTTGGTTGGTTGTCTGTTAGTTGTCGTTCGTATGTCCGTTGTCGGTTAGTGGTGTTAGTTAGGTTCGTTGGTTGGTTGGTTGTCTGTTGGTAGTTTGTCTGTTAGTGGGTTAGTTGTCGTTCGTTTGTCCGTTGTCAATTAGTGGTGTTAGTTAGGTTCGTTGGTTGGTTTTTGTCGGTTGTTTGTCTGTTAGTGGGTTAGTTGTCGTTCGTTTGTCCGTTGTCGGTTAGTGGTGTTAGTTTAGGTTCGTTGGTTGGTTGGTTGTCTTTTGGTTGTTTGTCTGTTAGTGGGTTAGTTGTCGTTCGTTTGTCCGTAGTCGGTTAGTGGTGTTAGTTTAGGTTCGTTGGTTGGTTGGTTGTCTGTTGGTTGGTTGTCTGTTGGTTGGTTGTCTGTTAGTGGATTAGTTGTCGTTCGTTTGTCCATTGTCGGTTAGTGGTGTTAGTTTGGTTCGTTGGTTGGTTGGTTGTCTGTTGGTTGTTTGTCTGTTAGTGGGTTAGTTGTCGTTCGTTTGTCCGTAGTCGGTTAGTGGTGTTAGTTAGGTTCGTTGGTTGGTTTTTGTCCGTTGGTTGGTTGTCTGTTAGTGGATTAGTTGTCGTTCGTTTGTCCGTTGTCGGTTAGTGGTGTTAGGTTCGTTGGTTTGTTTTTGTCCGTTGGTTGGTTGGTTGGTTGTCTGTTGGTTGGTTGTCTGTTAGTTGTCGTTCGTTTGTCCGTTGTCGGTTAGTGGTGTTAGGTTCGTTGGTTGGTTTTTGTCAGTTGGTTGTTTGTCTGTTAGTGGGTTAGTTGTCGTTCGTTTGTCCGTAGTCGGTTAGTGGTGTTAGGTTCGTTGGTTGGTTGTCTGTTGGATGGTTGTCTGCTAGTTTGTAAGTTGTCGTTCGTTTGTCTGTTGTTGATTAGAGCTAATTGGCTTGCTGCTGATAAGTTCAATGCTAGTTGACTTGCTGATTATAACTTGAGGGCTAAATGTCTTGCTGCTTATGACTTTAAGGCTAGTTTTCTTGCCGATTTTGACTTGAGGGCTAAATATCTTGCTTGCGGTGGACTAGTTTAGGGTTAGTTCGCTTGCTGCTGTTGACTTTAGGTCTAAATGGCTTGCTGTTGATGAATTAAAGGTTAGTTGGCTTGCTGATTATAACTTGACGGCTAAACGGCTGGCTGTTGGTGACTTGAGGACTAGTTGGCTGGCTGTAGATGACTAACAGCTATTTGCCGCTGATGACTTTAAATCTAGTGGCTTGCTGATTAAGACTTAAGGGTTAATTGACTTTCTGCTGATGACTAGAGGGCTAAATGGCTTTTTGCTGATTACTTAAAGGCTTTTTGGCTTGTTGCTGATGGCTCTACGGCTAGTTGTCTAGCTACTGATGACTTCAGGGCTAGTTGGCTGGCTGTAGATGAATTGATAGCTAGTTAGCAGGCTTTAGATGACTGACGGCTATTTGGCTTGCTGCTGATGACGTAAGGGCTAATTAGCTTGCTACTGATGATTTGAGGGCTAGTTTGCTTGCTTCTGATGACTTGACGGCTTGTGGCTTATTGTTAAAGCCTTTACGGATAGGTGGCTTGCTGCCGATGACGTTGGGGCTAGTTGGCTTACTTGGCTTGATGTTGATGACTTTAAGGCTAGTTGGCGTGCTACTGATGTCTTGAGTGCTAGTTGGCTTGCTGTAGATGCCTGACGGATAGTAAGTTTGCTACTGATGTTCTTGATGTCTTGACGTCTAGTTGGCTTGCCTCTGATTACTTGACGTCTAGTTGGCTTGCCTGTGATGTCTTGACGGCTATTTGGCTTGCCTGTGATGTCTTGACGGCTAGATGGCTTGTCTCTGATGACTTGACGGCTAGATGGCTTGTCTCTGATGACTTGACGGCTTGTCTCTCTGATGACTTGACGGCTTGTCTCTCTGATGACTTGACGGCTAGTTGGCTTGCTACTAACAAATAGAACATTATTTAACCTAACACAAATGGCGTGGTAAGTATTGGACTTGCCATATGTGTCTTGAAACTCGAAGACGCTTCAGATTACTTGACGTCTAGTTGGCTTGCGTCTGATGACTTGACGGCTAGTTGGCTTGTCTCTGATGATTTGACGGCTAGTTGGCTTGCCTCTGATGACTTGACGGCTAGTTGGCTTGCTACTTGTGACTTGACAGCTATTTCGCTTGCTACTAACAAATAGAAGATTATTTAAACCTGACATAAATTACCATCTGTGTTCATGGTTAATTAGTCATAACTATCATCCGCGTTAAGCTCATCCAAAATCATTAACTAAAATCAAATTGACTAGATGACTAGATCAGGGGTTCTGAAATTTTACCCATATGAGAATTTAAAATAAAAAAAAAAATTATTCCATTGGTAGAACACGTTTTTTTTTAAATTATTAAAACAATTCACACATTTTTAAATGGCCTGACTATTATTAATTTTGTTTACCAAAACGCGTTGATGTATTACTTTGTATCCTAGACCAAAAGACGTCGATGAATCAATATTGGAGAACCACTGACCACACCCTTCCTCTCAACATATACTTGACATGATTTGAATACATCTGTTTGCAGTATGACACCCACCAACTCTGAGTTTGAACTATGCAGATATGGAATCGTTATTTTGAAAGCAAAAGTAGATTCCTCTTTAGACCTAGCTGTCTATAGGAAAAATAGAGTTGGTTCATGTTTATTGACCTCGGCATATAAACAGATAGTGTGGTCAGCACTTTGCCCAGCCGCCTTTATTTCCCTAACGTGAGTTAGGTACCCATCAGAGCCGCATGGACTCACATTTTACAGACTTGAACAAGGATTCGAACTCGAGAATTTCGGGTTAGCAGTCTAGAGCTCTACCGTTAGTACAACCTGACCATCAATCGTTGTTTAACATCGCTATATTAGCCAGTGAGTGTTTACAAATAAAGCCCACCGAATGATTTTTGTTTTGCTCTCTGATATTTCCTGTCAGTAGCTCGATATTACAGATTGTAAGATTTGCATTTTTCTCAAATCACTACATTAAGAGAGTGCAGACCAATTTCTAGCTCCGGTGACGCTTTTAAGAGGACACGCTTTTAATGCAATCGATTGAATTGTTTTTATTAGCCATTTTAAAAACAGTTGTTCCGCCCAATTATTTAAATTGCGTTATTTTTTTAGAGATGAATTACGTATTGTATAAATTACCGGTACATTTTACTTTAGTGTATGATGCACTTTTATTTAAATAACACTTTTAATTATAATTAACCTTAATTAAAGATTTAGTTAACGGGGAGTTGTGAACTTATCAGCAGGGATTTTTCAGACATTTATCCTAGTAAAAGGGGGGGGGGGGTGGTCTTAAAATATCCAAGGGGAGTGGGGCAATTATTAAGGTTTATATTTTGTATAGACCTTTAATATTTCTTTATATTTCGTACGGTTAGGGAGAGGGGGGGGGGGGCAGATACGAAGCGATACCTGAGAGGAACACAGCTAGTGCGAATGCTGGGTAATTTAATTTCCTTCAGAGTGCGGGGCTACACATGACCGATGAATACAACAATGTCCAATTAGTCAGGAATAAACCAAATATAAAGATAAAAATATGCTATCCTTATATTTTGTTTATTTTAAAAAAAATGCTGCCCTTCTGTCTCGTTTATTTAAAAATCTGCTTTCCTAATGTTTCGTTTATTTAAAAATCTGCTTTCCTAATGTTTCGTTTATTTAAAAATCTGCTTTCCTAATGTTTCTTTTTTTTTTAAAATCTGCTTTCCTAATGTTTCGTTTATTTAAAAAAATCTGCTGACCTAATGTTTTACTTATTTTAAATCTGCTGTCCTTAGGTTTTGTTTATTTTAAATCTGCTGTCCAAATGTTTTGTTTATTTTAAATTTGCTGTCCTTTTGTTTCGTTTATTTAAAAATCTGCTGTCCTTATATCTCGTTTATTTAAAAAAAAATCTGCTGTCCTAATATTTCGTTTATTTAAAAAAAATCTGTTGTCCTTTTGTTTCGTTTATTTAGAAATCTGCTGTCCTTATATTTCGTTTATTTTTTAAAAATCTGCTGTCCTAATGTTTGTTTATTTTAAATCTACTGTTCTAATGTTTCGTTTATTTTAAATCTGCTGTCCTTTTGTTTCGTTCATTTAAAAATCTGTTCTCCTAATATTTTGTTAATTTTAAATCTGCTGTCCTAATATCTATATATATAATTCTCTTCTGGGAGCCGTTAGAAAACAAGCTGCAAGCGCCTCCTTGCAGTCCCCTCTCTTTCTCTCTATCACTATCACTATCATTACCACCCCCACCCCACCCCCACATTGTCTGGTGAGCTGTTGTTCACGCTGTTTACATCTTACAATCATAGAGACGGGTTTGGTGACGGCTATTAGGGACAGATAATTTAGTTTGAAACGATTTTAAACTTAGAGGAGGTAACTAAGAGGAGGCTGCTTTCACGTGGGGGGGGGGGGGGGGGGAAGGGGGGTTTAGTGTTTTTAAGCAAATATTTTCAGTGGCAGCATTGGTGCTGTCGAATTCCCAAATTATAAATTACTGAAAAGTAGAAAAAAAAAACAACTAAATAGCGGCGTATGATACGCAGCGGGTCGGCTCGTTTTGTTAATTTTAAATCTGCTGTCCTCAGTTAAAAATACCATGCAACAGAAAACCCAACAGACAGACATTTCAGACAACCAAGGTAAAAGTCTGTCCCGCGCATTAAGCAGAAGACGCACGCCAGACTCAAGAGCTCTATAAATAGCCCGCCCACAAAATCCATGTACACCTCTCCTCGCGGGGAGGTTGATAAAAAAACCCCACCCGGAACAGTTATGTGGAAGCTCCCGAGGATAACGAACGTGAGAAGATTCCAACTTTTGTAAGTACCTTACATGTGCTAGATTGTATGTTAATTTGACTATAGTTGGATTTTATATGTTCTGTTAAATACAATAATAAAATACAACATTTGTTATTTGTCTGTTATAAATATTTGGTAACTCTAAATATAATGTCAAAAATAACAGCTAACATTTTTGTCGACGGACCGTACTGGAGAGGTAATTGTTAATTAGCTTTAATTAGGAAAGAGTTAGCTCGCCTGAGCGTGGGTATGTCGAGAATACCAACACGGGGCATAATAGTGAGTCGCTTGCTTCAAGCATCGAACTAATTGTTGTGTTGGCATGTCCAATAGCATTACACAATGTCGAGGGGGGGGGGCGGACGGACCGATAACATAGTAGATCCATAGCCTGCTATTACATACCGGGAGGGGGGTACCGATACCATAGTAGATCTATAACCAGCTGTTACATTCCGGGGGGGGGGGGGGGTGGGGGTTACCGATACCATAGTAGATCTATAACCAGCTGTTACATTCCGGGGGGGGGGGGGGTGGGGGTTACCGATACCATAGTAGATCTATAACCAGCTGTTACATTCCGGGGGGGGGGGGGGTGGGGGTTACCGATACCATAGTAGATCTATAACCAGCTGTTACATTCCGGGGGGGGGGGGGGGTGGGGGTTACCGATACCATAGTAGATCTATAACCAGCTGTTACATTCCGGGGGGGGGGGGGGGTGGGGGTTACCGATACCATAGTAGATCTATAACCAGCTGTTACATTCCGGGGGGGGGGTGGGGGTTACCGATACCATAGTAGATCTATAACCAGCTGTTACATTCCGGGGGGGGGGGGGGTGGGGGTTACCGATACCATAGTAGATCTATAACCAGCTGTTACATTCCGGGGGGGGGGGGGGGGGTGGGGGTTACCGATACCATAGTAGATCTATAACCAGCTGTTACATTCCGGGGGGGGGGGGTGGGGGTTACCGATACCATAGTAGATCTATAACCAGCTGTTACATTCCGGGGGGGGGGTGGGGGTTACCGATACCATAGTAGATCTATAACCAGCTGTTACATTCCGGGGGGGGGGGGGGGTGGGGGTTACCGATACCATAGTAGATCTATAACCAGCTGTTACATTCCGGGGGGGGGGGGGTGGGGGTTACCGATACCATAGTAGATCTATAACCAGCTGTTACATTCCGGGGGGGGGGGGTGGGGGTTACCGATACCATAGTAGATCTATAACCAGCTGTTACATTCCGGGGGGGGGGTGGGGGTTACCGATACCATAGTAGATCTATAACCAGCTGTTACATTCCGGGGGGGGGGGGGGTGGGGGTTACCGATACCATAGTAGATCTATAACCAGCTGTTACATTCCGGGGGGGGGGGGTGGGGGTTACCGATACCATAGTAGATCTATAACCAGCTGTTACATTCCGGGGGGGGGGGGGGTGGGGGTTACCGATACCATAGTAGATCTATAACCAGCTGTTACATTCCGGGGGGGGGGGGGGTGGGGGTTACCGATACCATAGTAGATCTATAACCAGCTGTTACATTCCGGGGGGGGGGGGGGGGTGGGGGTTACCGATACCATAGTAGATCTATAACCAGCTGTTACATTCCGGGGGGGGGGGGGTGGGGGTTACCGATACCATAGTAGATCTATAACCAGCTGTTACATTCCGGGGGGGGGGGGTGGGGGTTACCGATACCATAGTAGATCTATAACCAGCTGTTACATACCGGGGGGGGGTACCGATAGCATAGTAGATCTATAACCAGCTGTTAGATCCCGGGAGGGGGGTACCGATAGCATAGTAGATCTATAACCAGCTGTTAGATACCGGGGGGGGGGGGTACCGATAGCATAGTAGATCTATAAAGTGCTAAAACATTTAAAATCTGTGTCAATTATTTATTTGTATCTGATACATAAACATACATACATACATAATTCATATATAACTGTTGTATCGATGTGACAGAATCTTCTCTGCTTTAAACTAGATCACATCTTCATCTCACACACCATAACAAAATACAATCGATTTTCTTTTAAAACTTGGGCGAGTGTCCAATTTTCAAACCACACTCTAAGATTAAAACAATAGAGCATTTTAATCAAGTTTTTTTGTAAAATTTCCTTTCCCCTCCCCACCCAGACTTCTGACACTTTCATTTGACCTTCACCCCTTTTACTGTCATCCTTTGCAATTTTTTTTTTATAATCAAATACATGACATCATGTAAATATTCATTATGTACATTTGCAAAACCTTTCGTTTTCATTTGGTGTTCAAAATTATGTTAAAAAATTTGATGTTGATGTACTTGTTTTAATTGCAAATAAAAGTATTTAAAAAAAAAAAAAATTATAACGTTGTTGCTAAAAAAGAAAAAAGAGAGAAGAGAAATGAAAAAAAAAACGTTGCTGCTATTTTGTTTAGAATTTAAGCAGTAGTTCAAGTGGAGCGAAAATGATTGACACGTCGTATGTAAATATTGTGACCAATTTTCTAGGAAAAAGATGAGCAACTTATTTTTTTTCTAAATCTTCACGTGAGATTTTTTTTCGGATCTCTTTACAAAAGAACTAACAATAATCGTTATTATTAAACATAAAAAAACATTCTCTCAAAAAAAAAAAAAAAAAAAAAAAAAAAAAAATCAAGTTTTTTTTAATAGAAAAAAAAAATTCTCTACGTTATGTAGCCTTATTCAGAGAACTCTCCAACTGTCAGGATAGCAACATTGAGAGGTAGGGTTAATCAAGAGCGGGATCTGTTTAGTCTACACGTCTTAGATAGAACTTTAGACAGAACTCACGCAATCAGGATTATGCAGTGTGCCACTTCGCTAGCAGTTAGGCTACACTAATTTGAGACATACAAACACAGGTCTTTTCGGTTTAGATATTGCGTTATAATAGACAAATACACCGGTCTTTTCATTACATATTATATCAGCCTTTTCGGTATAGTTATCATTATAGAAGACAAATATACAAGTCTTTTCGGTATAGATATCAAATCAAAGTAGACAAATATACAAGTATTTTCGGAATAGATATTACATATATTACATAAACATACCGGTATTTTCGGTATACATATTACAGTGTAGTAGACAAATATGTAAGTCTTTTCGGTATACCTATTACATAATAGTACACAGATACATTTCGACTCTTGTCCTTTCGGTACAGCTATCATATTTGACTCAACATATATTTCGACACCGGCCCTATGTAAACAGTGTTTCTTCCAGACTTTTTTCTCCGGGGTGCACTTGAAATTTTCGGGGGGGGGGGGGGGGGGGCCGAAGAGATGCCTGGAAGAAACTCTGTTGTATGTAAACGGCTACCATGCCTAAACCCATCTGTTCTGTAAAAATGTAGCTCACTCACACAATCTTCCACACCTCTCTTGTGTGTGAGCCAGGTAGCCTACATTGTATATTAAAGATAAAACAATCTTCAGTGTATTGTGTTGTGAGTCATGTACATTGTCGACAAAAGATAAAACAATCTTCGGTGTGTTCTGTTAGGATAGACAATTGTACGTGCCGTTATAAAGTCTGGTAATAAGAATTGTTATTGTATAACAGTCGAGTTAAATTAATGTAAGACATCCAAGCATGTTGAATTAAATTAGTATTAATAATTTAGTCTTTAAGTTGTTTTTCTTAATCGGCAACTTTTCTACAGGTGTTGGAATTTACAGCTAATATTTAATTTATCAGTTGAAATTGGTTTTAGTATGATTAAGTATTATTGTATAGTTCACACGAAAAATACGTAAAAAATCGCTAAACCTACATGCAAGTGTTATTGTTCTAAAGGTTTGTTTTTATTAACTGCAAGCTATAGAGCAGGTACTCTAACTCTCTCGCTAATGTCTTCTGTCAGCAATGGTACAGCTAGCATGTTATGATAACATTGGCGCTGTTTTGTCTAGAGAAAGACAAATAGTATACCGAAAGATAAGTAATATACCAAAAGATAAGTAGTATACCAAAAGATAAGTAGTATATAAAAAAAGATAAGTAGTATACCACCAGTAGGAGAATAAATGAACATTACCACCTCCTTCACCCCCCACCCTTCATTGTAAAGATAATTTTCTGTAGAGCAACAATGTTATGTACCAACAGTGTTTCTTCCAGACTTTTCTCTCCGGGGGGGGGGGGGGGGGGGAGAGACACTTGATATTATCGTGCGGGTAGTCAACATTTTCCGGGGGGGGGGGGGGTCGGTAGACTTTCTTCGGGTGGGGGGGGGCTCCCCCAAAGAGATGCCTGGAAGAAACTCTGTGTATCACCCCCATCCCTAACCCCCCCTACCCCACCTATAATCAAAGCCTATACCACCACAGTATAATATTTTACCATGTTCTGTGAAAAAAAAAATGGTTTACTATACAAAAACCATATCACCTTCACAAAGCTGGTGTCCCCACAATATCATGTATTATATTATTCTTTTGATCAGACATGTTAACTAATTTGTTAAGGTTGTAAGTTTTTTTTATGACAGGCAGTTGGCAGGCTCTAGGAGTGGCTCTTCTAATGCGCATTACCACGCTCAATTAAATAAAGTCCATCAATTATTGTGAACACGATTTGTTTTTATTTTTGTAGTTTATTGATTGAGTCGCGGCACCGAACTATACTCAAACACTAGTGAATCGATCTCACGGGGCTAAAGGCTTACTTTTACAATTCGGCAAACTTTTTTTAGCCTGAAGTGTATCGTTCAACTTGTAGCGGCGTGACGGGACTTTGAACAATCGTGTGTGTGTTCTTGCAAGGGGGACAAGTCGCATTATTTCACTATCTACTACTAAAGCGGAGTTGTTGAAGAGGACACAGGAATCAGCATGTCGGTAAGTTTATCAATAGAAAAGAGCCTAACCTAACTTTTTAGGAAACAGCTTACCATCACTGCTAACACAGTTATGCTATTTCAGGGCAACAACACCGTGTTGTGCTAACAACCACATTGTGATATATATCCATATCACCGTGATACTAGAATACAAGATCATGATGTTTAAACTCTTAATTAAGCTGTTATTGTAAACATTATTTTTCCTTAGTTACTTCGTGACTTACAACCTATAAGTAAACAACTTAAACTTGAATCACTTGACTTATTCCTGGTGGCTCCTGGAGAGCAAAGGTTTGCAATCACGCCTCTCCATCGGACTCGGTTTTTTGCGGCTCTCTTTATTTTCACTTATATACACTTAAAGATGTATATATAATTATATATATATATATATATATATATATATATATATATATATATATATATATATATATATATATATATATTACATTCAATACTTCCTACACCAGATAGCACATTTCGACCCAAAATCCAGCTGCACTTCCATAAAAGAATCCCCTAACAAAAAAGAAATATTTGTAACTGGATTACGGAACATATTTACCGGCTACGCGGAAATCGCGTCTTTAAATGGCGTCCAGCCCATCAAAGCGTCCACTAACTCAGTGGTTAAAATCATATGGGCGGCACTGATGGTCATTTCTATTGGGGCCATGCTGTTTCACCTGTACATGTAAGAAGATTTTTTAACTGTAGATTTGACTTTTTTGTTTATTGTAATAAAATAACCCAACTTTTTGTAATTACTTGCATTAAATAACATCCCTTTAAAGCTAGTATAGAAGATATTTACTGTCTCTCCTTATATTAACATTGTTCTGGGATGGAGTGGTCTAGCGGTAGAGAACTGGACTGCTAATCCGTAAGTCTCGAGTTCGAATCCGGATTCAAGTCAGTAGACCGTCCCTGAATCCACCTAACATGATGAGTACCTAACTCACGTTAAGGAAAGTAAAGGCGGTCGGTCATAGTGTTGACCACACTATCTCTTCATATGCCGGGGTCACAGAAATAAGTGAACTCTACTTCACTTGCCCTATAGACCGTCAGGTTTGAAAAAGGGAACTTTACTTTTCTTCCACATGCATAACATCAGCTAGCGTAGAGTAGGCATTATTTTGATTTCTTACCCCGGCGTGTATAGGGGATGCCTAGTTAGATTTTGTTTTCTTGAAAAAAAAAATGGAAATTTAATACTAGTTAAATATATAGTTTGTCCATGTTTGTAGTTATTT